GGAGCCGAATCGGGCTCCAAGCCCGAGGTGCCACGCCGCCGCCTGCGCACGCTGGCGCTGCCGCGCAGTCTCGATTCCACGCCTCTCGGCTGCGCTGTGCAGCCGGGCTGGCCTCCTTGCGCTGCTGGCTGCGAAGAGAAGGCCCCTCCTGCCAAGCCCTGCACGCATCGCGAAACACTGCACGCCGAACGGCGTCTGGCCCTGTTCGGCCTATGGGGGGGGGGCCCTCCCCTGTCCCTGGGGCCGTCAAGAAACGACTCGGGGTGACAAGCCGGCCCGGGGGGAAAGGGGTGTTTCCCAGCCCTGCGCGCATCGCGAGACATTGCGCACCGAAAGGTGCTTGGCCCTCTTCGGCCTCTGGGGCCCCGCCTGGCCCCGGGGCCGTCAAGAAACGATTCGGGGTGACAAGCCGACCTTGGGGGAAAGGGGCGTAACTTCAGGACACCGCATGTTTGGGCTCGCCTCTCCCTCTCGCGCGTCTGTATTCCCTCCAGTGCTGCCGCTGTGCGATCTCGGATCCTACGAGGGGGCACAGCTGGGCCGCTTCTCGCCTCTCCTCCACGTGGCTGGATCGCTTCGGGCATGCAGCTTTTCGGTGGCCCTTCGCGCCCGTGGCGAGGGGCAAGCAAAACATCGCCTCGCCTCTGATGATCGTTTTCTTATTCATCGTTTGGCTGATCGGCGCGGGCCCTCGCACCCCCCCTCCCCCCCCATGGAGCAGACCTTGGCTGTCTTGCGCGCCCGGCTCGGGCAGGGGAAGCCTCCCCCCACAGGACGCACTGCTGCAAACGGGCGCGCTGAGCAGAGGCCCGGAGCCCGACCTCCCCCCTCCCGCCCTCTGCCGCAACGCCGCGCAAAAACATTTTCTCCTCGCCTCTGCGGGGGGGGCGGCTGCCGCGGGGCGAGCCGCCGCAAGCCGCCGCCGCACGCCCTCCGCGAGGCGGGCGCGGCGACGGCGCCGCTGGCCGAGCGCACCCGGGATGCCCTGCTGGGCGGCGGCTTCTGGGAGCGGCTCTCATGCCCCGGCCCCGCCGCCGCCGCCGCCGCGGCTCTGCGGGACGGACTCCTCCTCCTCCATCCTCCTCCTCCTCCTCCTCCTCCTCCTCCTCCCTCCTCCTCCCTCCTTCCCCTCTCCCCCCTCTCTCCTCCCCACCCCTCTCTCCTCCCCGCTTTCCTCGCCGGCCCGCAGCGGCTCTCCTTCCGCCTCAAGCGGTGTGCGTTCAGGGCAGGAGCGCAGCAACGCCACAGGAGACAGCGTTCAGAGGAGGAAAAGGTACCCATACCGCTAACCGCCACCCAGCGTCGTTTTCCCTTTTCTGGGCTTCCTGGGAGGCCCTCGTCGCCATCGCTGGATTCGCCTCGAAGTCCTGGTCAGAACGCACCCCCGGGAGAGGTCCAGGGAGTACTGGTGTCGGTACCTTTTGGTTTCCCCATCGCCGCTGACTCAAACGGTGTTCGCTCAGAGCAGGAGCGCAGAAATCGAAGAAGAAACAATGCCATTAACATAATTTGTTTCGCGCGGAGCGCCAAGAGTTTCTTTTTCTATTCGGAGCAGGAGTGCAGCAACGCCACAGAAGACAGCGTGACATTGACAAGGTGGCTTCGAACACGTGTCATATGCCCTGAGGCGAGCAAGACCACAGCAGAGAACCCAAGGACAGCAAGGCATTGGCAGTGCAGCTCAGCATCAATACAGGAAGGCCCCAGGACAGGCATTGACAGCCTCTTCGAATATGGAACATGCACACACGATCTTTCGGATGCCCACGACAGGCCAACGACGACGATCGCAGTAGGAGGCAATAGGCATACACATGTGCACAACGATATACTTTCGGAGGTCCGCGCAGATCTCGTGGGTCGGCACTGACCACCCCTGGCGGCTCCTGTGGCGCTGCCACTGGTGCGCCCCGCGCGCCAGGGAGGAGGGTCCACTGCCGATCCAACAAACTTCTGCGGACCTCCGACAGTTTATGTTATGTAGTCGTGCCGTCTATCTCCAACCCTTCGCCGCCAGCTCCCGCTACCTTGGACAACATGAACCTCAAAAGCGCGCGGCGCACTTTTTATTTATACGTTTACACACATATACATATGTATGTGTATATATATATATACACATAATACCGCCTCCCGGCCCCGGGTCCCGCACCTCTCCGCCACATCTCGGGAACGCTCCCGGTACCGCTCCCCTGGTCTTTCCGGGGATCCTCCACAGCGCTCCAGGAGGGCCCAAGACGCCTCCCAGGAACCCCCAGAATGCAAAAGGATGGCCCAAGACGCTCCCAAGCAGCCCAAGTTAGCCTTCCGACGGCTCTCGAGGCTTCCAGGTGGCCTCCAAGAGACTCCAAGAGAGGTCCGAGAGGCGTCCCGGAACGGCCCGAAGAGGCTAAAATCGTTGATTCTCAGTTGTTTTTTTAAATGTCTTTGGCTTCTCGCGTTTTCGAGCTTCCCAACGGTCCAAGAGCGCCGAAGAGGCTCCCAAGACCGCCCCACGGCCACTCAAGAGACCCTCAGGACGGCCCCAAGGCGGGCCAAGAAGGCTCCAAGACCTCCGAAGAGACGCCCAGGACAGATCCAGACCACCCCAGAACAGGCCCAAGATGGCCCCAAGAGCGGGAGCAGCAGGCTTCCAGCGACCTCCGACACACCCCCGATCCATGAGAGACCCCAAAAAGATCCCGACGAGGCTCCAAGAACAGCCCAAGAGAGCTGCGAGAGCCGTCCCGAGAGAGCCCAAAGAGGGTCAAATCGCTAATTTCCAACAAGTGGTTTTTCTAATGTTTTTCGCCTCCTCACGTTTTCCCGCTTCAACCCCCGAAGATGGAGGTTTTTGAACAAAAAGAAAAGAATTCTGGGAATTCGGGGAATTCTTTGACTCCTACTCGGGGGTGCTACACATCCCCTGACATCTGGCCGGTACCGCGCCTCCTGGTTTCCCGGAGCCCCCCAAGACGCCCAAGGACGGCCCAAGACGACCCGAAGTAGTCCCCAGAACGGAAAGAACGGACCAACCCGCTCCCGTGCAGCCCGAGACACCCTTTCCGACAGCTCTTCAGGCTTCCAGGAGGCCTCCAGAACCCTCAGGGGGTCTGGAAGATCCCACACCCCTGAGGGGCCTGGCGAACAAAACCCGCGAGGCACAAACAAACACAGCGCCGAACAGCGCCGAGGAACTGGACAAACGTAGACATCCCACAATTCCTTTTTTCAAGTTTGGCCCCCGGTCTACTCTTGCACAACAGACCACAATTCAGACGCCCCTCACCTCCCCCAAAAGAATCCAGGAAATCTCTGAGGGCCCCAAATCGTTGAATACCTAGAAAGGAAATTCATGATTTCTGCGTTTCCGTACTTCCCCTTCTATACTATTCCAAGGCTTGCGCAGGGCCTCCAAGGGAGTCCCTGGACGCAAGAAGCGACCAACATGATATTACATAAATTAGCCTATCAAGCCTAGCTAAAACTTGAGCGCGCGCGAAGCGCGCGATGGTTCTAGTACTATATATTTATATATGTATAGATACATATATGTAATGTAATTCGGAGTTTTTTGAAAGCATAATACCTACATATCGGTGTTCAGGATATGGGTGGCATTGCGTGCGTAGTACTTGGCTCAAGTAATCTGGCCCAAGGTGTTCGGTTTAATCCACCGTAGCGCAGACTCTCTCAGCATTGAGCTGTTGCTTCCAAACACGCACGCTTGCGCCAGTCGGACGCCCTCATGAGCCAGCGGCCGAAGAAACGACCTGCTGCTGCGACTTCAAGGGGTCCGGCAGCAAAGAAGGCCAAGGCGGTCGCAACAGACAAAAGGCAAACATCTGCCACGATGTCCGAAGCCATTGTGCGGCTATTCTGCGCAGACCGTAATATCCGGGGTAAGGTGCTCCATTACGGTGCTCACAAGAGCTGGGCCCAACAACGCAAGGTCTTCGACGAGGTCTGCGACGAGGCGGCCAAGCTAGTCATTGAGCAAGACCGCGTCAAGTCGATTGAGTATGACGTGGGTAGTTTTGACGCAGCGTGCGACATCGCTTCTGACGTTCTGGACAGTGACGATTTGTACATGGGCCGTGGGGGGCCGGAGATCATTCCCTGGAGGCAAGTCGTACTCCGACAGTTTCATGGCAGGTTTTGAACTGCCGGCCCGTCTGCAACAGCTGAGGATGCATATTGCTAAGTCGGGCATCTCCCTCTACAGGAGGAATGTTAAAACATAGTCTAAAAATAGCCTGAGGGCGAGTTCTGAGTATTTGTTTGACTATTTTCGAATATATTGTTGTTTCTTTTTTTTAGTGTTCCCTTCCGACATCCGCCTGTAGGGGGACATGCCCGACCTGAGCACATTGCGCCAGGCGCCGTGACATCGCCTGCTCCCGCCGACCTCCTGCTCCCGGTGAGGTGACTTTTGACTGCGGCTCACGCCTATCCTTGCCTTTCCCCTGCCATCTCTCGTGCTCCCCCTTCTTCCCCCAAGGCCCGGAGGGTTTCCCCGATGGGCTTCGGCGACCCGTCCTCCTTCTCCTCCTTTTCCTCCTCCTCCTCCTCCTCCTCCTCCCCTTCCTCCCCTTCCTTCTCCTCCTCTTCCTCGCCATCCTCGCCCTCCTCCTCCTCCTCGCCCTCCCCTCCTCGGGTCGCCCACGGCCCCGGGGGAAACCGTCCACTGTGGCCCCACGAGGGCTCCCTTCAGAGCGCAGCCAGCGGCAGCTTCTGGCCCGACAGGAGCACGTCTAGGTGCCGCTGCGCGTCCGCCGCCTTGGGAAACGATAGAGCATATCGCAACGCAGTGAGGGATCGGATCGTCCCTGAAAGACAGCGCAGGTTCATCAGCCTCGTGCTTATTTTCTTTGCTAGCTCATTTCGGCTCAAACGACTCGCTGAACCACTTGGCGTGCGTCCGTCTCTGCCCGCTCTGCGCAAGCGCCAGAGCGACACGGCTTGCTAGACGTGAGATCATACTGTCGCGCAGAGAAAACTCGTTGGTGCCCCTTTTTCCAATGTCGGTCGTCGTGGATCTTCCGAGTCGTGCCGCCCTGGACCGTTTCCCGGTCTTCTTCCACATGGACGCAGACAACATTCAGGAGGAAAACACCCACACAGACACAGTTAATCGTCGATTCCCCCCGAAAAATATGGACACATATGGGAAGCGTGGGGGAAGGCAACCACCCAGAACATATGGGGAAATCTGGGGGGATCCTGCTATTTGTGTGCGTACTTCTTTGTGTGCCCCAAGGCCCGAGAGAGAGGGGGGCGACGCTGCAGGGGCGCATCAGCAACGCGTGAGGCCCCGCGTGGCCGACGGGCGATCGACGAAGGCGGGGAGGAACGACGAAACGCGCCGCACAGCACCGACGAACGTCGAACGTCGAACGCGACGAGGAGGAACGTGGAACGCGACGAGGAGGAACGTCGAAGAAGACGAGGAACCACGAAACGCGAGGAGGAACGACGGAGCACGCCGAACGCGGAGGAGCGACGGAGCACGCCGCAGGGTACAGGCTTTCGAAGGCCCGCGCGGCCGTCTTGGATCTGCGCCGGGTCTTCGTCTGACGACGAAGGCGCCCACTCGTCGAAGAAGACCCCCCTCGTCGAAGAAAACGAGGAGGAGCGACGGAACACGCCGCAGAGCATAGACTTTCGAAGGCCCGCGCGGCTGTCTTGGATCTGCACGGGGTCTTCGGCTGACGAGATCTGCACATGTCGGAGGTGGATAGACCTCCTACCCTGACGCGCCGATTCAGGAATTTGCCGTTTTCGGTTCGCGAGTGGCCGTCTCGGCCGCCATTTTTGCGGGTCCAGGTCCGTCGGTTTCGGTCCCAGCCCGTGTTCACTAAGGGGAGGTTTACCAAAGGGAGGTTTGTCCACCGCCGAACATGCGAACCGACCCGGCGTATACCACGGGCCGATCTCAACGGTGTTTTTTGGCACTTTCGTGGGCCGTTTTCGTGCCGACCTCGTTTGGCGGCAGGGGCGGATGGAAGGCCGGGCGAGGGAGCATTAGACCATAGACCATAAAACGAGAGTGCATAAAAAAACCTGTCCAGGCCGATCCCTGGTGTGCACGCCCTCGTGGGCTTGGCCAGGTCCAGCGTGCGCACCGATAGCTGGGCCCCCGGGTGGGCCTGGCCGGGAGCGGCGCCCGCGTGGGGCTCGCGTGAGGGGACCCTGTTCAGCGGGAGGGCTGCTGGGAGGAGAGGCGCTCGCAAGTGGGTCCGCGGTGCTGATGGCAATGGCACGTGGAGCATCGTTGGGCTGCGGGGCTTCACCATCATGGACAGTAGGCTGATGAGCAGCACTCAGATCTCTTGCGAGTCGCCCCACGGGTCGGGGTTTTCAAGGTGACTGGGGGGGTCCAGTCTATATCAGGGCGCTCTCTTTCTTGGATTGGAGCCTGGGGGGCCGGGCTTGTTAAGGCGCCCCGTCGAAGAGGGGGGGTCCAGAATATAAGGTCGCATTTTTCGAGGGGGGTCCGGTTTTTTCCCGACCATCCTGTGGTGTTGGGTCTTCGTTTTGAAGAGACGGTCCCCGCGTTCCTCCTCCTCCTCCTCCTCCTCCTCCTCCTCGCCCTCCCCCCTCCAGGGTTCGCATGCCTCCCCACCACCCATTTCGGTACACCCCTCACACGTTTCGTGGCCCCATAGGGAGCTCCACCGAAGGCCCCAGTGGCAGGGTCCGCATCCCTCCCCACCACCCATCTCGGCACACCCCTCACACGTTTCGTGGCCCCATAGGGAGCTCCACCGAAGGCCCCAGTGGCCGGGTCCGCATCCCTCCCCACCACCCATCTCGGCACACCCCTCACACGTTTCGTGGCCCCATAGGGAGCTGCACCGAAGGCCCCAGTGGCAGGGTTCGCATGCCTCCCCACCACCCATCTCGGCACACCCCTCACACGTTTCGTGGCCCCACAGGGAGCTCCACCGAAGGCCCCAGCGGCATGGTTCGCATGCCTCCCCACCACCCAACTCGGCACAAAAATGACAAATAGACACCCCTCACACGCCTTCGTGCCCCCATAGGGAGCTCCACCGAAGGCCCGAGTGCTGCCGTCCGCATGCGTCTCCCGCACGCAATTCGGCACACCCCTCACACGTTTCGTGCCCCCATATGGGGGCTCCACCGAAGGCCAGAGCGCTGCCGTCCGCATGCGTCCCCCACACACAATTCGGCACACCCCTCACCCGTTTCGTGGCCCCATAGGGAGCTCCACCGAAGGCCCCATGGCTGCCGTCCGCATGCGTCCCGCACACCCATTTCGGCACACCCCTCACACGTTTCGTGGCCCCATAGAGCTCCACCGAAGGCCCCAGTGCTGCCGTCCGCATGCGTCCCGCACACCCATATCGGCACACCCCTCACACGTTTCGTGGCCCCATAGGGAGCTCCACCGAAGGCCCCAGTGGCAGGGCTCGCATGCCTCCCCACCACCCATTTCGGCACACCCCTCACACGTTTCGTGGCCCCATAGGGAGCTCCACCGAAGGCCCCAGTGGC